GAAAAAATAAAAATAAATTATTTTATATTGGGTGATCAGGTTTTAATACTAAGACATTATTTGCCTTTTTCACTCATTCTCTCGTGCTTGCACAGAGTATGAAAAGCTCATCAGTATGGTTTCATATTCCACATTAAAATTAACCTTTCCAAAACTATCTCTTGTCAAGTTTTGTTATGGCTATTCGTTGATAGTACAATTATAAGAAAAGACTATTAAAATACTCCTCTCTTTCCAGCTACATATCTAAGGCCTAAGTCTCTTTATATACTTCATCCATAACAATAAATTGCAACAGATTGAAGGCAGAAGCAGGTATACTATTAAGCCAGACAGTAAAGAGATTTGCAAAAATGGAAAACAATCTTCTCTTCTCAATACAATTTTTTTCATTAAAATTATGTTATTTACATTAATATTATAATGGGTTTATTGTTACTTTAAGTAAATTAATAAATATTTTAAGTTTTTTCAGTTTTAATTTGTAATATGATAAATATCATTAGACATCCATATAAACAAAAGCTCTTTTCGATCATCAATAATTTTTAAGAACATAAAGCGGTCTTGAGACCAAAAGAATTTGAGCACCACTGATCATGATGTGGTTTTCTGAGATCTATCAAATAGTACACAGGTTATTTGCAGTTTCAGAAAAAAAGTGATAGTAATTTTATCCCCCAACATTTTAAAAAATTAATATAAAATAATAATTTCATTAAAAATCCCTTTGCATTCTTATAAATTGCTCTTGTACTACAAGGTCTATCTTGGTCAATTCATCTTGGCTAATGTTCAGTTTGTTAACCAAGGGATGTTTGTTTTTCATTTGTGTGTTATCGTTCGTTAAATTTTAAATTTTCTTTTAGCTCAAAGGTGATTGAAACATAAAAGTTGAAATAAAACAGTAAAATAAATGCTACAACTCAGAATACTATCATAAACATAATGAATAGAGCTTTAGTGTTCATACAATCTGAGTTCATATGTGTTAGAAAGTGATATGATTTGCATTGAAAGCCAAAAAGAGAAAAGTGCAAATATGAACGACGATGAAGACCAGAATTAAATTTTATCAGACCTGTATTACCTTCATCTCTAGTCTCCAGAGGTTATCTACTCTGAAATTCTGTCAAATACTTAGTTACATAAAGCCATAAAACAAAGCATGGTGATCGCCTTAGCAAGCCGGAATTTTCCAGAACTGTAAAACAGTGCCTGAAACAGTGGTGAATTCTGTCAATAAAGATCAAGAAACCAGAACTACTGATGCATTATTCATAGTTACGTAGCACATATGTATATGTCACACCTTTGACAAGAAGCTTGTGAAATCAGCCAAAAAGTGAGAAGTTGTACGTTTGGAGAAAAGGCAGAATTAAGCTTCTGGTAGAATTACTGTATCAAATGATACTGTTAGGCATTACCAGTAATATACAAAGTAAACGATTAATGCTGCTGTTTTTGTGAAATATGAAATAGCAAGTGTTCCAGATTATGGTGATCCAAACTGAATATGTATGCTCTTAGATGATGTGTAAAACATATATGGAGAAGAAAGTATTAATTGTTTCTCTTCTGTTTAATCACTTACAAAAAGATCTGCGTTACAGATATTCCATTTTGTTATTTTGTGAGCTGTGACATAAACTGGGAAAGGAAGGGGCATTGGGGTCAGTGCTGACACAGCATCGGCTAAGTCTACAGTAAGAACGGGCATGGCAATTTGAATAAAGTTTGACTCCATCCTTCTACCCCCTAAGCCTCTTCCCAGAGAAGAGTGCCAGTCAAGAAGTGCCAGAAGAGTTAGCAGTCAAGAGTGTGCCTCATGATCTAATTGAGCCTTTAATTAGAACAGGAGTCAGCAATCTAAGTCTATTGGGCCAGATTTGTCCCCACTCCGTGCCTATTTTTATATGGCTGGTGAGCAAAGAATGATTTTTACATTTTTAAATGGTTCAGGAAAATATCAAAAGAATGATATTTTGTGACACATGAAAATTATAAATTCAGTATTTCCATGAATAAAGTTTTATTGGAACATAACCACATTCATTGGCTTATGTATCGTCTTGCCTGCTTTCACACTTACAGCAGCAGTGTTGATTAGTTGTGGGAGAGACCATATGGCCTGCAAAGCCTGAAATATTTACTCTCTGGCCTTTTACAGAAAAGTTTGGGGCCGGCCCCGTGGCTTAGCGGTTAAGTGCGCGCGCTCCGCTGCTGGCGGCCCGGGTTCAGATCCCGGGCGCGCACCAACGCACCACTTCTCCCGCCATGCTGAGGCCGCGTCCCACATACGGCAACTAGAAGGATGTGCAGCTATGACATACAACTATCTACTGGGGCTTTGGGGGAAAATAAATAAATAACTAAAATTATTAAAAAAAAAAAAAAGTTTGATGACCCTTCCATTAGAGTAACTCCACTTTGATCCATCGTATTTATTTTTCTTCCCTATTGGAGATAATGTGAAGAAAGGGTTCTAGTGCCTTAAAGACAAGTTTTTTTTGTTTTGTTTTGTTCTTTAACTATGTAAACTTTTCAAAAGGTCAGCCCAAACAAACTAGCATTCTTGTTCTTTTGCCACTCTTGGAGCAGAGCAGGATGGCGTTAACAGTTCAGTTGGAAAATACGAGGCAATTGATCAGAGGGAGAAGGTCAAATACCGTATGATTTCACTCATTAAGTAGTAGGTAATAACAACAAACACATAGAGACAGAGATTGGATTGGTGGTTACCAGAGGGGAAGAGGGGAGGGAGGAATGCGAAAGGGATAATTTGGCACATGTGTGTGGTGATGGATTAGTATTTGGGTGGTGAACATGATGTAATCTATGCAGAAATAGAAGTATAATGATGTACACCTGATTTATACAATGTTATAAACCAATGTTACTGCAATAAACAAAAAATTTAAAAAAAACAAGGCAATTGAGTAATTCAAGGCAATATATGAAGATACGTTATGGGTGATATAAAGTTTAACTGTGCCATTAGAGATTTTAAGTCTAGTAGAAAGATAAGAAACATAATTCCTACTTATATTATAATTTTTTGTATATTTTTCTCAAAAGAGAGATTGAACATAGCTTAAAAGGAAGGCATTTGACTCATCTTCCTGTTCTCTCAAATTGATAGCCAGCAAATTGCTACCAGTCCAGCAAATTCTCACTCTTACTCATTTTTCCAAACTGAAAGATATATTCCCTAAAAGTGATGACTAATTTAGCTGCCGCTCCTCTGTTTCCATAGCAACCAATACATTCCTGTAATTATTAATTTGCATGGTGTCTCTGTACTACACTATAAGTAAGATTCATTGGTGTCTTCCTCTCTAGACACAGGAGGGACTGTTTGTTAGGTAGTATAGTATAATATTTCAGAGTGTTGGCTTTGGAGTCAGACCTGTCCTGCTTTCTCTAGTCCTGCTTTCTAAACATTCTGAGTGAATGTTTCCTCATCTATGAAATGAGAATAACAACAGTAATGATGATGATGATGATACCTTTTAGAGTTTGTTGTGAACCTTAGCTGAGATGATGCATGTAATATGCTTAGTTATGCTTTTGCCACATAGTACTATGTCAGCTGTGTTGCTGTTTGTTGTTTGGGTGGTTGTTTTTATTGTATGTCTAACACCTAACATAAGGTCTTTTTTAAGTATTAAATATTTTGTTGAATGGAATCAAGGGTTATTTTTAAACGTGTCACCAACTTTGTGCTTGAGAGAAGACTAAACATTAAAATTAAAGCTTGCTATTTATCCAGAAAGAGTTGTCTCAATAGATTTTAATCCAATAGTGATGATGATATTTCTGTTTGATGGGGTTGGGGTGATTTTTTTTGGTCTGTTCCAAAATCTGTGCTCTTTCCACGTATATATCAAGTTGAAGTATAAGAGAGTGCTTACTATGTGCCAGGGACTGTTTTAAGTGCTTTATATTTATGTAGTCCTTGTAAGAACCCTCTGAACTAGGTGTTATTATTATTCCTATTTTTAGATGAAACAGCTGAAGCATAGAAGAATTATAAATTGCCATAGGTTACCCAGCTAGTAAGAGGCAGAGTTGGGATTTGAACTTGTAGTCTGGCTCAAGAGTTTGTATTCTTAACCATGGTGTTCTAATGCTTTTGTTACTACACTGTCTCTCATTTGCCATATGCTTGTATGTAAGCTTATCTTAGGTAACTTTCTTGGAGTTTTAAGTTTGTTTACAGTGCCGGGCATATGGATAGATAATACATATTTGAGCTTGAATGAGTTAATATGATGGTATGATAAAATTATAATTAATACGGTACAATCATTGCTTAATTCTTCTTAGGTTCAAGTAATACAGTAACTGTTTTTCACTCTTAGGCACTATCTATAGCCAGGATTGGCTATTTTGAGGCAATCTATTCTAATACTACAAAAATGTGGGCAAAGAAATTGCTTAACAAATCTATTTATATTCCTAAATTCATTTTTTTCTTGCTGGTACACAAAAAAATCTGTGTGTTTTATTTAGAGTTTTTCCCTTTTTGGGTCCTTCTCTTGAATTGTTTGTTGATTTTTTTTTTTTCCCCTGAGGAAGATTCACCCTGAGCTAACATCTGCTGTCAATCTTCCTCTTTTTTCACTTGAGGAAGAATAGCCTTGAGCTAACATCTGTGCCAATCTTACTCTATTTTTTGTACGTGGGTCGCTGCCGCAGCATGGCTGATGAGTGGTGTATGTCCACGTCTGGGATCTGAACCCACAAATGTGGGCCACCCAAGCAGAGCGCGCCAAACTTAACCATTGCACCATGGGGCTGGCCCTCTGTTTGTTGATTTTTTTAATGTTAAATGGCATTATAGTTAAGTGACAGATAATTCAGTTCTTTATAGAAGAATTCTTAAAGAATTTGGACATACTGGTCATGATAGTGAAGTTTGGTATTGAATTTGGCCTCTATAACTTTTGAAATAGTAATGATCTTGAAATCTGCTTTATTTTATATGTCTCTTTCAGAATTCTCCACTTTACCAGTACTTACAGGATCTGGGACACACAGACTTTGAAATATGTTCTTCTCTGTCACCAAAACCAGAAAAATGCACAGGGACAGAGGGACAGCAAAAGTCGCCCACAAGAGCCCTGCCGAAAGTAAGAAAGCATGCTCATTCTCTCTGACTTAATCTTTTGTTCTTTACCTTACTGATTATTTAAACTGCCTTTACCCTTACCCTTGCAAAAACCAAAACCAAAATACCTTGTAAGCACCCTCATGTCCTCCCCCACGCTAAGACATTATTTTTTATTTTATCCGTAGTACAAAACTTGTCTGTTGAGACAAATATGAATCCTTGCTGTTTTGTACTATCTCATGGGTAATTTCTGTAATGAATGGAAGTGAATGTGGTTGAGGGTTAAAATATATTATTTATTTAAATATTGAACTTCTCTGGAGGGAACTAGAAAAATATACTGAAACCTTAATGAGAACCCAACTATTAGGTCTCCTATATTAACTGGAACTTTTTTTCTTTAAATATTTTTTTAAGAGAGCACAAATTATAAGAAAGCAAATTGATAAGCTATTTCATAAGCAGTTCCAAGGATATATGATAGAGTGGGTATATTTACCTCAATTTCTGATGCCCTTTATATCTGCAGTATTATATTGTTTTATACAGTAAATATCTTATAGTTGATGTACAGCACTGAGGCTTATATACTAGAAGAATCTCCGTTAATTGTGTTTTATAAAATGCATTTACTAGGTTCATTTATGTTCCATCGGCCATATTTACTAAAATAAGACAATATTCCAGTACATTTCAGTTTTAACAAAAGGAATTCTAACTTAATAGGAAAGAATATAACCAGGTTACCTCATTTCTTGAGCATTCTAGTTTAATCAATGTTTCATTACAAGACTCAATTACTTTCAGGAGGAGGCTTTTAAAGTTTTCTATTAGTCATTTACTCTGTGGTAACAGAGAGGGAACAATCTTTTCTCTCATTCTTAGAAAAACACCTAAAATGTGAGGTAACCAAGTTGGGCCCATTGCAACAGCAGAGTACACACCAGAGAAATGTTTTTTCACTAACACCTGCAAGGTGGAAGTTAGCAGAGTTAGAGTTCACAATGGTCAGAAACAGTTTTGCTAGTCCTCTGTAGAACTTAAACTCTTTCAAATATGAATGTTCTTGGGAAGAGTTTTGAAAGCAAAACCTAAAGATATATCTAATAGGTTATTTATAGATTAAAACTTGAATTTGAGATTACTTGGCAACAGAAGACAAGGAAGGAGCCAAGGGATAGTCTTGGGGCAGGAGATAGGCATTGATCTCTTTGTGTGTGTGTGTGTGTGTGTGCAAACTTAGATTTTGTAGGTATTTAATCCTTTTCATTTATGACAGGTATTTTTAAATATAGAAATGTTGTTATTAACTTATAAATAAATAAAATGAGAATTTAAAATTTCATCCCTCAGAAATGGAGGAATAGTAAAAAGCATAGCCAGAGGATATTTTTCAAAATTACCGTGTCTAGAAAGCTTGTTTAGTTTTCATATTACACGTTTCAACTGTATGAGCTATATTTTTTAAGTGGAGGTTTTCTAAATCTGGGGCAGCTAAATTTTAGAAAGATTTGTTGTACTGTTTAGTTCCTTCTCAGGATATATTTTTAGAATTGCCTCCCCAAATTCTATTCAAGCAGTGAAGTACAAATTTATTTTCTTTGGAAAGCAAATTTCTTGTATAATATGAGTTCATGATTAAACAGTCATTAGCATTAATCACCCTTTTTTATCTTTTATTTTTTAATATGATTAAGTACTTATTGAGTAGTCTGTACTGATATTCTCACCATGAGTATTCATTCTCTATTTTTCTAGTTTCTTTTCCTGTGATAATTCTTAAACATTCCTTTCATAAAGTTTTAGCATCAGCCCTCTTCTCTGCTGAGAATCTCATCTACTTTCTTGCCCTCATTGGCCACTTATGTCCATTCTCCATCTTTGCTGACTCTGAATTTCATTTCCACCTGCTTGTGCCCCAGGAAACTCAGGTTCAACATATGGAAAACAGCTTCTTTCCTCAGCACCCCCAAAACAAACAAAATGTCCTTTCTGTATTTGCAGATTACCACGCTCTCAGCTATCTTACTGTTTTCCATCACTCCCACATTGATTTGGTCACTAAGTGTTGTATCAAGTCAGTTTCTGTGTCTCTAAAATCTAACTCTTATTCATTACCATTTTTGCTACCCTAGTTCAGGTCTTTATCATTATTTAGCTGGACTGTTAACTATCCTCCTAATCATGCTTCCTGGCTACAATTATTCCCTACCAGTACAGCCTGTGCACTCTTGCCAGTTATTTTTCTAAAATGCTGATTTTCATTGTTTCACTTCCTTGCATAAAAACCTGTGGTAGCTCCTCACAGCCTATAAGATAAAGTCTAAACTATTATGGCATGTAAGACCAAAGTCTTTAAAACTCATCTCAGTGTACTTTTTTAGCTTCATTACTATTCCCTTCTTCCCTTAGGTCTTAGCTGTCCCAAACTACGCCACCATCCCTATGGCATGTGCTTTGATGGCACTCTACTTTACTCATCCTTTTCCCTTACCTGGAGTGTTCTTCCCTTCTTTGTTGTTAAATTCTTACTCATCTGTTAGGGCTTAGCTCCAGTCTTAGAGCTTGGCCTCCTCTTTTCCCACACTTTTCCAGACTTCACATTGTTTTATAATTATTTGTACCATCTCTTCTATACTAAGTTCTTGAAAATAGCAGTTACATGTATTCATCTTTGTTTCCATGACCCTTCTTTAGTACCTGGGATATAGTAATCACTCAAAGAATGTAAACTCCATTTACTGGCATGCTCAAGAAATGGGCTATTAAGGTAAATTAAATTTTTGGTTGATTCAATAATGTAACTTTTATTTCACTATGAGGCAGTTTTCCTAAAATTGATGAAAATATCTGTCTGCCTTAGTATTGTGGAATGAAATGTTCATAATATTTGAAAACTTGGAGAATGGTATGGTTTTCATTTTGTTGAAATCCATCATCATGTTGAAATAGATAGCGTACCCAAGATAAATCAGCTGCCATCAGGATGACTTCTGACTGCTCTTTAAAAATCAGGTTTCTAGGTCTCCTTCCAAACTTACTGAATCTGAACCTTTAGTTTGGAAGCCCAGGAATATGTTTCTAACTAAAATCACCATATGATTCTGATGTGCAAGTAAATTTGGGAACTAATAAGGAAGGAGGCTGAGACATACTGACAAAGCATAGAACCTGGATGATTTTTTTCTCTTTTTCTGATAAAATTTCTGATTAATTAGAAGTAAGTTGGGGCTGGCCCGGTGGCGCAGCGGTTAAGTTCACGCGTTCCGCTTCAGCGGCCCAGGGTTCGCTGGTTCAGATCCTGGATGTGGACCTACACACTGCTCATCAAGCCATGCTGAGGCAGGGTCCCATATAGAAGAGCTACAACTCTACAACTATGATACACAACTATGCACTGGGGGTTTTGGGAAGGAAAGAAAAAGAAGAGGAAGATTGGCAACAGATGTTAGCTCAGGGCCAATCTTCCTCAAAAAAGGAAAAAAAAAAAGTGAGTTATTGAAGTTTTTCTGCTGTTTGGGTGTGGTATAATAATGCTATACAATGTTATTTATTTTCCTTCAGCAAGGCATCCTGTTAAAAGTGGCTGAAACCATCAAAAGTTGGATTTTTTCTCAGTGCAATAAGAATGATGACTTACTTCACAAGTTGGTAAGTGTTTGCTTTGTTTCTTTTTGTTAATCTTCAGGGCTTCAGTTTATTAGTGAGAGAATCAATGAATCAGAATTTGTTTCGCTACTGATTTGGGCAGTGATTGATTTTGATTAGAAATTCTAACTAGTTCTCCGAAAGGAGACTGTTCGCTTCATGGAAATGATCAAGTTTGTTTGTATCACCTAAAAAAAAAAAAAGAAAGAAATTCTTCGAAAACTGGGCATCTTTGAGTTTGGACTCATTAGTATTATTCCATAGTTCTTATAAGAGGTTATTACCCACTTAGAATAGCATGTTCTGGTAGTTATTGCAACCTTATTTATTAGATCGCTCATTTCCTGCTGCCATCTTCCTCCTTTGACAGGTATTCCTCTCAGTAGGGAAGGGAATATATATATCTATTAGTGGACTCAAATCAGAAGTGGTTCCTCTCTAATTTATTTATCATCAATCTACCATTCTCTGACAACTTCATATGTGAAATTTAGTCTCCCAGGACTGATAAATCACAGAATTTCCCAAAGACTTGGCATAATCAGCATTGAGAGTCTTTGTGATTCCTGTGAGGCTTGCCTTTTTTTTCCTGCTCTCTGCTGTAGTATATCTGTTGCTTGATCTCTTACCTCCAAGAGGGAGTACTTCAACTTTTTACATACTAACAATACAAAATCCAGGTAGTGTAGCTAAAAAAAAATGAAGTTATGTAGTTCTCATGGCTCTTAGAAGGAATAATCAAGTTACAAGTAAGCAGGTTTCAGGATCCTCTGCTGGCCTCTGACCTTAAGATGATAATTATCATTCTTATAAATTATCATTTGTAAAGAGATGTTTACAAAGTGCTTTCACATTTTGATTTGGTAATTTAAACACTGTAAGGTTCAGTGCATTTTACCAGTTGGAAAGCCTCAGGTTCATACAGTTCAATTTGGTTTAAGAATATTTTTTTAGTGAATTGTTCAAGAATGTTCAGCTAGAAAGTAATAGAGCCAGAATTTGAACTCAGGTCCTCTGGTTTCAAAGCCCAAACTCTTTCCATTATAAAATGCTACCTCTGTAGCTTGAGTATTATGTTTTGACTGACTAAAATTACTTTTTTAGCAACCCAGATGGGCAAGTTCTCTGTGCAGGGTTTCGTCTTTGTAGGTGTGTTGAGAAGGTCTATGAAGTGTCTTGTCATCTGCGTAGACTATCATCTCTATCCAGGTGGAGCCATCCTCATTCTTCAGTGATACTAGGACTGTGGTAAGGTATATGGCTCCATATACATTTTTCTGTGGTTTAATCATAGTCTGCATAGTCCTGATCTTTTCATTCTTGGTTCTTTGTCACTGGCCACATGTTTCGAGTCATGTTTGACTATAAAATGCCAGCTTCTATATGCATCTATTTTGTGCCTGTATTATGGAGAATTGTAGGAAGTACATACCTAAGAATTAGTTTATTAGTAATGGAATGAGGAATTGCCCAGATGGCTTCTGGCACTCGATTGTGACATATTTAAAATTTTGTTAGCTATATGGATATTGAACCAGTCCTCCTTTCCTTTTATAAAATATACTGGCAATTGCTGCATGATATCTGAACATTTTACCATTGTTCATTTTTGTTAAGGTAGTACTTTTCTTCTTAAAGATTGAAAAAGAATTCCTTTATAGCAACTATGATGGTAGTGGTATTGGCACTTTTTAAGTGTTTTTAGCCTATAAAGTGCTTTCACACATGTTATCTCATTTGATCCTCATCAGCTTTATGAAATAGCACTATATATTAAAAAGTGTATAAGATTGTTGACACATGAATAACTTCCCTTCTTCATCCCTAGGGGCAAAAATAGAAATCTCTTTATTCTTTAGCTGTGCTTCTCATTCTCTTTCATTCCATCCAGGCAGAAATATTCCTGAGTTACCTTCTCATGCCATTTGTCTATTTAGATCCTAAAAAGATCCCCATGATCCATCAAATCAAGTCTAATTCATCACTTTGGCATGAAAGATTCTGCATAATTTGGCCCTAATCTACCTTTCCAGCCTTATCTACCAATATTTTCCTCAGCCAACTCAGTCTTCCTTTTACTTTATTCCATACCTATTCTGTATGTCTATGTTTGTACTATTGTTCTGTGCTGGAATTCTTACCATTTTTCTTTCTATTATTGGAATCTTTTCAGAAAGCAGTCCCAGCTCTTCCTCAAGGCCTTTCCCAGAAACTTCAGCCTATTGGACCACTTATTTTCTGCAACAACCTAGTAATAATTATCTATGCTGTGTTCTACAAGTTTTTCTATTATATTATGTGTACTTTATTATATTTTAATTATTTCACGTGTACTAACAGCTAACACTTACATAAGGCTTACTGTACGCCAGACGCTCTCCTTAGTAGTTTACAAATATTGACTTATGTAATCCTCACAGCAACCCTATGAAGTGGGTACAATTATTATTCTCATTTTGCAGATGAAGAAACTAGAACAGAAAGGTTATTAACTTGCTTAAGTTGTGGAACCAGGATATAAAGCTAGATACTAAATCTTAGCACTCAAACTTGTTGAAGGTGAGCCAAAATTCACATAGTACACCTCCCCAGAGCACAGAGCACCCAACTATAGAGATAAGACCTACTAATATTAAAGTCGATCAGAATTAGTACCTTTTAAATTTCTTCATTTTTTTGAGACTTGGACCTAAGTCCTAATAGGGCTGTTGTGACATGTTTCTTAATTTAGCAGGTGTCTATTCTCCCAGTAGGTTGATTGCCGTATTGCAACACAGTTTCCGTATTTTCTGCAGTTCTTATTTTTATAATTAAAGAGTAATGTATAATTTTATAACTTATCCTTAAGAAAAAACTTAATTCATTAATTTAATCTCATTCAGTTTTACAGCTAAATTATCAGAATATTCAAGTTCTTCCTTTGTGGAGGTGATTTAATCACTAAGATAATGCTGCTTTAGGTATTCGGAATGTCTTGGTCCCTCTCAAGTTCATTTGTATGTATAGATGATTGTAGGTTGTATGTTACACTCGTGAAACATATATTCCCAAAGCTATTAATACTGCCTCGAAGCACATTGGTTTTGGGGAGGCATTATCCCAGTTTTGTAACAAATCTGATGTGAAAGAAAGGTATTCAAGAAAGTGAGTACCTGATTAAGCGGCATGTCTACAAGAGGGTCTGTGAAGAGGGAGCGCTCCCATTCCACGTTAATAGCTCTGCCCCTCTCTGTCAGCCTTAGCCTTCATTTGGTTAGGCTTCTTTAAACTTGCCCATACATGGGTACATAGAGGTCTTATCAAAGTTATGATTTAAAGGTTTTGTAGCAAAAGTTTGATTTTTAATACTTGTATTTGAATATGGCCATATCTGATTGGGGAATCCAAACCAAATTGTAAGGCTAATATGTGAAGATTTATTTCAAAGATCACTTGAAAAGCTACCATGCTTCACCTCCTGCCCTCCTTACTTTTTTTTTTACTCACTCCCACCAAACAGTATAAAGTAAGTTGTGCTGTTCTCTCTTTATGAAAGTGGGGGTGGGACGTCAAATTAAGTGGTTCCTAATGTTAGAATCAGGATTGTAAGAAGAGAGAGGAGGCAATAGTTTAAATGAAACATAAAAGTACTGCAGAGGAACATGCAGGGTGTGTCAGTAGATGGTGAAAAAGCCACACCAGGCTAAAAGGAAGATCAACATTCCATTGATTGGATGTTCTTTTTTTGATAATTGAAAATAAATAAATGTATCCAGATAGGCCTAATATTAAAAATATTCTTCTCCTTCTCTAAAAGTGATGTAACCCATGATTAAGAGGATATGCACTCATAGTTTGGTAAATGGATCACTGCATTCCTACTTAAGTCCCCATTATGATCAGCTAGGGCTGGACTCTGGTGTGGGAATGATTAACTAAGAAGAGCAAACCTATTGCCTTCAAACCCTAGACCTAACTGATTTTACTTTAACTGCTAAAGGCTTTGTCCATTAAGTTCTCTTTAGGGGCCGGCCAGGTGGCATAGCGGTGAAGTTCGCGCATTCCGCTTCGGTGGCCCAGGGTTCACCGGTTTGGATCCTGGGTGCAGACCTACTCACCGCTCATCAAGCCATGCTGAAGTGGCGTCCCATTTAAAAGAGCTACAACTCTACAACTATGATACAAAACTATGTACTGGGGGTTTGGGGAGAAAAAAGAGGAAGATAGGCAACAGATGTTAGTGCAGGGTCAGTCTTCCTCAAAAAAAAAGTTCTCTTTATGTTTATCAGACAATAGGATCACTCTATTCCTAAATTTAATACAAAATAAAACCTTAAATTTTCTGATAGAGCAGACTGTTTACAGGGAAGCAGAATCGACTCCCAACGACTTAGGATTTGAAATCAGAATTCTGGAAAGTTATTTAATCTGTTTGGGCTTCAGTTTTCTCTCTATGGAATGGAGATGAGGATGATAATGTACATCACAGGGTTCCTGTGAGAATGAGCCTCTCTGCTCTGACTTTGCTACCTCATCTCTCACCTCTCCACCATGTACACTCTGCACAAAACTAGTAACAGTGACTTGCAGTTTCCCAAACTAGAGAGGCTTTTCTTCTGTCTCATCTCGCTCTTCCAGCTCTTTCATCTGGTCAGTTCTCGTTCGTCCTTTAAGACTCAGCTCAGGCGTCACCTGTTTTGCTTTCTCTGACCTCTTTTTAAGTTTTGGTCCCTCTATGCCATTTTCATAATACTCTAGGTATACCTTGTTGCACTTCTTTGCACATTATATTGTAACTGTTTGCTTTTCAGTCCTCTTCCTTAAATTATGAACTGTTTAAGAATAGAGACTTGGGGCCGGCCCCGTGGCTTAGCGGTTAGGTGCGTGCGCTCCGCTACCGGTAGCCTGGGTTCGGATCTGGGCGCGCACCGATGCACCGCTTCTCCGGCCATGCTGAGGCCGCGTCCCACATACAGCAACTAGAAGGATGTGCAACTATGACATACAACTATCTACTGGGGCTTTGGGGAAAAAAAAGGAGGAGGATTGGCAATAGATGTTAGCTCAGAGCCGGTCTTCCTCAGCAAAAAGAGGAGGATTAGCATGGATGTTAGCTCAGGGCTGATCTTCCTCACACACACAAAAAAAGAGCGAGAGAATAGAGACTTGTATGTCTTGTTCATATTTTTGTGTCCTCGGTGTCAAAATGGTACCTGGTATGTATCAGATATTCCTTGATAAATGGATAGAAGGAAAAGAGGGAGGAATAAATGAGTTGGTATATGTGAAAGCATTTTGTAAACTATAGTGCTATGCACATGTTAGTGTGGTTTTGCATTACATTCCTTAATGATGTTCATGATTTTTAATATCTGAATGTCCATTTTTAGAAGGCATTGATCCTGCTGATGTAATTCTTAGATATTTGTTATATTGTTACAGTATCAGGGACAACATCTATTACAGGATTATATTTTACATGTTGTGCTTTAGCTATTTAATTAATTAGCCTTAACTAGACAGGTTTATTAATCTAATTACTTCACATCTCTTTATTAAAAATTTATATTTCACATCTGGTGGCTCAATAATGGTTACCTCAATCTTTATTGTTTCGCATTAACAGTGAAAGTAAAACCCCACACATCATACCGAAGATAGATGGGACTGTTGTTTCTTCTTCTTAGAATATGTACTGAAAATGAACACCTCGAAATTTTATTAGCACAGTAGGAGCTTTGCATTTAATACACAATTAAGTATGTATTAATACCTCTCTTCTGGTCTTTTAATGGCAAGGATATTGGATTCCGACTCGACTCACTACATACCATCCTGCAACAGGAAGTCCTGTTACAAGAGGATGTGGAGTTGATTGAGCTACTGGATCCCAGTATCCTGTCTGCAGGGCAACCACAACAACAGGAAAATGGACACCTTCCAACACTTTGCTCCCTGGCAACCCCTAATATTTGGTACTGTCCAGAAAACATCTATCCTTTGCTTACATATAGAGTATTAGCAGAGGAAATCTGTCATTGTGCTCTCCATTGTAAAGGCATTATAAACAATCTATACCTTTTAGCATTGTAATTAATGTAATGATATACCAGAGGTTAAAAAAAAAAAAGTACCTTTCTAAACTGAATACTATTTAAAGTGGCAGAAAAAGTCCCATTTAATTATTATATAATTTCAACTGAATATAATTAATTCTGTTTTTAACAACTTGACAAGCAGGTGTAACATGTGCCAAAAAGAATCTCTCTTACCCATATACCTATGCACATGTGTGCATGCGGGCCTAGCCAGTTCTTTATGTTTCTTTACAATTTATATCATAATCACATTGTAGAGACACCAAGGATAGGATGGGACATGGAGGTAAACAGTCAACTCTTGCTTTGTTGGCTGAGAAGAGATCATAGGGAACATAGTGTGACGATTCAAACTATCCTAAAACTTTTTGACCACTTCAAGTATTTGGTCTAATGCCAGAATCAGTCCCAGGCCAAAATCTGTTTGAAAAAAAAATAGTAGGAAGGAATTATATATACAGAACTGTTAATGTCCTCTTCCTGTTAAAGTATGAGTTTATTAAATGAACTAAATCATTGCTTGAACTGTTGGAGTTATACAGGTAGTTACATTCATTGGCCTCAGTGTTCTGAATTTATGTCTTTCCTGTCACACTGACAAATGCTTCATATAGTAACAGCAAACCATGATGTTTTCCAAAGCTGTACCACTCAGATAGCATGATGAAGTAAAGCATCTTATCCTTTAAAAATCTAAGAACTTAAGGAGCTGCTAGAAGGAACCATAGGTTTTAAGAATTTTGCAACTTTCATTTGAAGTTTCCTTTAACCACAAATGTGGTTAAGCAACTATGAGGCCTGTAAATACTTCTAGACTTTGCTATTAATACATAAAAGTATATGATGAGATTTTGCTTTATGATATTACCAATATTGTCTAAAAATAAAGGATTCCAAGGGAAATTAGGGCAGGCAAATATTTATTAAGGCAAATATTTATTATTCTTCCATGTGACTTTCTTTGTAGTTTGACTGTAACTGTCTTCAAGTATTTTTGATGTTGTTTACAGATATCCTCAGACACATCTCCCCCTATGTTCACCTTTTCCTTATATATACACATTTTCATCAAAGCCTTCATTGTTTAAAAGATGTATTTTAGTCTATAGATTTGTAATTGATCTAAATTAAAAAATTTCATACATATTTTTACTTCGGTTAAAGCAGTGTAAAAGTACAAAGCTTGTCCATATCATAGTCTACCGTAAGTATGTATATTCCAGTTTTGTGATGATGATTATTTAAAATTCGATGACTTTATTCAAAACAGTTACTCATCAAATATAATTTCTAATTGGAAAAATGCTTCTATTTTCTTGAGATATTATGTGTTTCTGTACAAATAATTAAAGTCTGATTTTAGGAAAAAGGAATTCATAATATCTCCAAATATTTTTAAATGTATTTTAATATTAAAAATCAGTATTTTAATATCAAAAATTAATATTTTTGATATTAAAATATCAAAATTTTAGTATTAGTATTTTAGTATAGTTAGTAAGTATATAATAGTAAGATATTAGTATTTTGATATCAAAATTAGTAAAAATTAAAATATTTTTACTTTTACATTTGTAAAATTGGATTTTAAAATCTATAATTTGTTTTTAAGTTAAAGAGTCTGTATCTTAAAAAAAGTCATTTCAGAAGACACTTATTTGTTATGTCCTTTACCTCAACTTATAGCTCAGATTTTAATACCTAAGCACCATTGTCTAGTTGCTAGATATTTTTTAACTATTTCTCATTGCTTTTTGCAATGTCATATTTTTAAAATCGTACTTTACAAAGAAGCTAGCATTTTATCTACTTTAGTAAACCGAAATTACTGACTGAAATAACTCATCTTTCTCTAGCCTGATGCATATTGTTTCTTTGGTTTCTCTGTTATAGGGACATCTCAATGCTATTTGCCTTCATTAGTTTGCTCATTATTCTTCCCACTTGGTGGATTGTATCTTCCTGGCCTGTATGGGGAGTGATTCTATTTGTTTATCTGATGATAAAAGTTTTGAGATTATGGAGGACAGCCAAACTACAAGTAACCCTAAAAAAATACAGTGTCCTTTTGGAAGATACTGCAACAAATAGCCGAGCTTTTACTAACCTTGTGAGAAAAGCTTTACGTCTCATTCAAGAAACTGAAGTCATTTCTAGAGGATTTACACTGTGAGTTCATTTTTCATTTTACTTTTTAAATAATTCTTTTCTATTACACAGTTAAATTAGAATATATATTACCTATTTTCATTTCTCTGTTGCATTTACAGAAAAAAGTAGATTTCTCTTTTGCACTTATTGAAGTCTATCACCTGCTAAGTGAAGGAATAAATACATTATATGCTAGATTTAATATGTAATGTGATTCTGCTCATCTACTTTAAGAAACCAAAGTACTTTGAGAATCATGATTATTTCTGTGTTACCGTGTGATTATATGAGATAATGTATGGAGAGAGCCTAACATTGAACCTAGTGTGCAAAGTTACCCAATAAGTATTTGTTCCCTTTACTCCCTGTCAGATGCTCTCTTTCCTCAGTTTAAGTCATAGACATATGTGACATGAATTCATTTTGAAAAATCTTGCCTTGTATCAATAATATTCTTTAGGTACATGTTAGCAGATACTATGGCACTGTTACTCTTAGAATATCATGCAAATAATGATGTTTCACATTCCCATGAGAAATTAAATATTCGTCAGTCTAACTTGTAAGTGTGTTAAGCTATAGGATATATAGGCTATTTAGTCTATTATTAAAGGGAAAGTTATATTTATTGAGCACCAATTATGTCCCATATACTATGCTAGGCAATTTTGCATACAGCTAAAGGCATACAATTTTAAGTGGTAGAGCAAATGTTCAGGTCCATTCCATCTGAGTCTAAAGCTTGTTTCCAGTACACTAGGCTGTCTGCTAAACACTAACAGGTGACAATTGTACTGTAGTATATTTGATAATTTATATAACTTATATAACCTTTGCAATCTATAGGTGGGAGAAAGTAAGTATATGGTGAAGAATAATTATGGCTCTTGATTAGTTGTATCTGGAAAATCATGAAAAGGAGGAGCAGAAGAACCTTTGGCAGTCATTGCATCCTTCACTCTGCTCTGTTCTAGGGTAGTACTTAAACCATCTTGACGTAAAAGCTATGTCTGGAAAATCATGAAACAGGGAAGTGGAAGACTCTCCAGTAGTCGTCTCATTCTTCACCCTGTTGTGTTCTAGAATACTGTTTAAACAATCTCGAGACATAAGAGAGATTTTTATAACTTCCCTTTCTACACAATTCAAAATGTAACAGTCCTCGATCTGTTAATTTTTGTCCTTCCATTGTGGTGAAAGTCCACTTCTTATTGGTAGAGCATAGTAAATATTAAGTTGAGGGTCAAATTTTAAAAGTTAAAAATCACACTAAGAATAAATAATAGCTGCTTTTAACTCTTGACTTGCACAGCATTTTATTGAGAGGACTGACTAGTTAAGCAAAGTGGCCGTGTGTCCAGTTAATGCTTAGGCATGTACAGAGGATTCTGTCCTTCTGTCATTGTCCAACTTTTACCATATGTGTAGAATAGGCATGAAGAGCTAAAATGGACCAGTTAGATGTGATTTACCTCCAGATCATGACTTCTATCCATTCAGATGCAGACAGGCAGAAGAAATGTTGGAAAAGATTGTGCTTCACTTGCCTTCAGCTGGATAACTGATTGAAAAAAAAATTATGAGGAATAATAAATCTTGAATCATAATTTTTTTAGAAATACTTTTAATTTTTAAAACATTTAGTAAAATGGAGTACAAACAATAGTGCCATATATTGAAAACATGAGTGCTATTTTCTTCTGCCTTAATTTGTCCTCTCTAGCAAATAATTTAACCCCTCTGTGTCTCTTTCTGTTATTTTAAAATAAGCCTATCAGTCATTGTCCTCTGTTTTTTATAGATTTTTAATGCCTGAATATATTTTAGTTGGGTTGAAATTTTTAAAGTTTTAAGTTAGATGTCTTATTTTAAAATATTTGTGGTTATAGTGTAAGAAATTAATAAATTCCAATATTTTGTTTTGCTATTGAGAGAGGTTACTGGTTAGGTGAAAAAACTATTATCGGATAACTGTTATATGTAATCACTCAGAATTTCATCCGTAAAAGACTAATACATTATATGTCATTGTTGCAAATAGGTACTCTCCATTTATCTTTTGGAAAGTGCTATGAAATGTGCTTCCTCTTGAACAGTTTTAAGAGTAGCTATGCTACTCCATAGTAACCCTTCCTTTGCCTTTCTACTTGCATTCCCCTGTTGGCCACTGGTCCTGTTACCTTTCTGCATCCCCTATTTCATTTTGAGTAGGTAAGTGCCAGTGGCAGCAGGTGGGTAAGTCATTTTACCCTACTTTTATGAATGTACAGAATGCATTTCTATACAGTATTTGATCTGTACAAATGACCAAAAATATGATTGACGAACATATGTAAATGCATATGAAGAATGTGAAAGTGTTTTTAATGAAAGCTTTCATACTTACTGTAGATATAGGTTTTAAAAACTGAATGTAAAGTAGTACCATTTTAGTATATTTTAGCAGGTAACGTTGTCTATATAAAAAAGTTGCAATTTCTTACATAAATATTCCTACATTTCTACTATATTTCAACTAAAATTCATTGTTTCCCCATATCAGAGGAAGCCTTTACTCTTGGAGATTTTAATTTTTCATTTGTCTTTTTTCAGGTGGCTATGTATGTATCAGGGAAATGGCTATTTATGAGACCCGAGTTGGGATATTTATAATCATTTTCTAATGAAAATAATTAAAAGGATTTTTTTTCCTAAGCTTAATAGAATTGTGGATTTAGGAAACAAAAACTTTAGGACACCTGTATAGTTGTATCACATTTTACTTTTCAAGTTTGCTTGACAGGGTCAGTGCTGCTTGCCCATTTAATAAAGCTGGACAGCATCCCAGTCAGCATCTCATCGGTCTGCGGAAAGCTGTCTACAGAACTGTAAGAGCCAACTTCCAAGCAGCAAGGCTAGCTACCCTATATATGCTGAAAAAATATCCTTTTCTGTGTATATGTAAGAATAAGTAATGTTTCCGGAGTCCTGAATATAGATATTATAGTTACATCCTGTAAAAGTTAACTATAAACTGAGATTGCCTATTTTGAAGCTAATTTCCCTCATCACTACTATTTTAAAACTGGAAATGGCATTCCAGGGGGAATGATAATAACAGACAGGAAGAAAGTTCGGCTCTCCTGTGGCTCATTTTTAATAAGAAAAATACTTGAAGTCCCTCCCTTAACTGATCCAAAGAATAAAGTCAAAAAAACCTGGCTTTGCTAGATCTGACATTTTTAAAAATTACTGAACATGGCAAATTTGCGTCATCACATGGAAATAAACTGGCAACAGGAAATCCTTCCCCTTTCAAAAAACAGAGGCTCTAAAGTCAGATTAGCTGAGTTTAAATTTTGGCTGTATCAGTTACTGCCTAGGTGACCTTAAGCAAGTTTCTTACCTCTCTGTACCTTGCTTTATTCCATTTTAAAATGGCAATAATTACATAACCTTCCTGACTGTGTTTTTGTTAAGATCAAATAAGTTAGTGTGTATAAAGTGCTTAGACAGTGTCTGGTGTATAATAAACACTCAGACTGCATGACAATAAGTTTGTAACTTAAATTTACTAAATCAGGAAGTTAGTTCTGTTAGGAAATATAAGTGTATAAGATCTGTATTTTAGTTAAGATTCATAGATAAATTATGAGTCAATGGAATGCAAAAAGACTACACCTTCAGTAGCTGATAAGTATAATGCTTAAAGTTTGCAGAGTGCTTTGTGTTCTATCATTATATCCTTATACAAACCTTCCCAGCTAGATTTTCTTTTTTTTTTTTTTTAAATAGTCTTTATTTATTTTTATTTTTTTTGTGAGGAGATCAGCCCTATGCTAACATCTGCCAATCCTCCTCTTTTTTTTTTTTTTTTTTTTTTTTTTTTTT